ACCACAACAGAGACTGAGTTCTGCCCATGGGTGGAGTCACCAACAGGACCCTAAATAAGATTTAAAAAGCAGATTAGGTTCCTGAAGTAAATATCCTATTAAGGACCATAAATAAATAAAACCCATACACACACTGAATATGAGCATAAACTTTTGCTCAGACATGGTTGCTGCCCTGGATTTCTATATCCATAACATGCTATACTTGTGCCACCCATGGATGTGCATTTAGGGAAGCTCTTTGTCAGAAACTTCATTCAAAATTGAGATGCAGTTAAATAATTGATTGCAAATGTAAATTGTAATTAACAGATTACCTGGGGAGGTCTACTAATCAAAACTATATATTCTAATTTTTAGTTTATAAAGAAACCCCATTCTTTAAAAAAAAAAAAAGAAAACCAACAAACTATCAAATAACAACCAAACAAAAAATCCCCAGCAAATGAAATTTTAATTTACTAAGGAAACTAAGGTGGGAAAAATGTATTCACTTTCATCTTACCATAAAACATATTTAAATACAGTGGAAAAGGCAATTTCCTGATTCATATGCTAGAAGTGTATATAAAAATGTAACAACCCCAGAAATATTTAAAATACTGAATTTCTTTTTTCCAGATACTTCCTCCTCCACCATATTTGGGAAATATTTACTGTATTATTCTAAACCAAGTTTGTATTTTTCTGTGTGATAAATTTGTTTACTTAAAAATAAGAATTATACCTAGCATATAGAAAATACAACTGCATATATTTATATTTATTTAATAAGCTAATTTATTACTACTTAAGAATTCACTTTGTAACAGAAATGAAATAGTGTTACAAAACACTAACAACTAAAGGATTTTCATTCTTGGGTGAAAGCTTCTAGAAAAAAAAAAGACAATGTATTAATAATGTCAATTTGCAAATTTTAATTTTGCAATGATACACAAACATAAATTTATTATGAACTTCTAAAATTAAAGCTTTAATATTAATGTGATCTGAATTAAAGCAAAGCAATCTCTTGCCTGCAGAGCTGCAGAAACAGGCAGTGAGCTTTTCTCTGGGAGAGATTGATGATGTTCTCTCTGTTATGCAGTGAAGGTGCCAATGCCCTCGGTGCTATGGCACTGCTCTCTCCAGAAGGAGCAGTTACATACAGAGCCTTACAGCCTAGAGAAAATGTGATTATATGCTTTATAACATGTAATAGAACATGTTATAGAAACTGCAATAGATGCCGTCTCAGAAGAGTTGCCCCCTTTAAAATACCTGTTCATGTCAAAAAGCATTTTGAAGCACTGAGATATAGCAGTGATCATGTTTACAAATAGTGCCCTAAAACTGTTAAAATTCAACTAAGAGTTATTCAAATAAAAGCTGTCCAGTTTTTCTGTCAGTTTTTAGTATGTCTGCTCTAAGCTTTATTCAGAAAACAGGGATATTATTGTTGTACTTGAAAGTACCTGTCTTTCTTCTGAACCCTGAAATCAGGATGGAGCTGTGTCTTCTGCTTTGATTTGTCATTTTACAAACCCTCCTTCTGTCCTTCAGCTTCTCCCTGTAAGGAGCAATACCTCTTTCTGTTCCCTTCCTTTTGTCTTGACTCCTGCACTGTAAGCTCAGTCATGTGGTAATTGCATGTTTTACAACACGTGGCAAAGCCAGGCCCTTATTTCAGTACAGAATGCTAATAATACAGAACTGTCACAGACACCCAACAGTCCCAGAGCCATTCACATTTTCAGGGTGAAGCTGAAGCTGAGCATCTCTGAAAATTACTTCCTGTATTTTGAAAAAAAACGAAGCCAAAACAAAAAAACCTCACCACAGAAACAGTTCAGGTTATCTTGAGTTTAGTAAAAAATAAAATAGCAAACCAGAGGATACTAAATTTATCACACACAGTGAAGCATTGCAAGTAAACATGATATACTGAAAAAAAGCCTTTTTCTCTATTCTAAACAAATTGGGTTTGTTTCTAAAACTTCGTAAGGGCCTTGCAAGTCACCAGAGTTTCTTCATTCATGCAGGCAGTCCCGTTAGAACAAGACTTACAGTAAAACCACCTCCAGAGCCAAGGTTTCTGGGATAAGTACAAATGGGAAGATCTGTTATTATTTTTGAAAAGCAGTAAAACATCAAGTTGCCTAGTGAGAAAATGCAGTGTTCTGCCTGGAAAGGCTCAAGGCTTGAGTTCAGAAAACTGGGTCATTAACAAAAAAGCCCCAAAACAGAACAAGATTTCCTACTTGGGCCCCTCCCCATACTAGTGGTTTCATATCTCATTATATTCCAAAAAGCTTGATCATTTTAAAAATGAAACTTTTCTGAGTGTATTGAAAACAGATGGAAATGAATCAAGGGGTTGAGACAGAAAAATGCTTTACTGAAGATCTATTTAAGCAATACTTTAAATAAATAAATCATTTGTCTGAGAAACCACATCTATCAGAAATATAAATAATTATATAATGAACATATAAACTACATTTCCTGAAGTAATTCCTGTCTTGCTACATTTCCTGAATTATTTGTATTATGAAACAGTAGTGGGGCGCCATTAATTGATACACACTCAGTGCTATAGTTACTGCACTAATTGCAGCTCTCCAGGCCCTCCACTCAGCTCCTCCAGCCCTTTAACAATTGGGATTGATTGCACAGAAGCTATTTTTAGAATGGAATGGCAGAAGACTTTGGAGAGCAGCAGACATTTTTGTGTGTGCTACAGCTGTTTTGGGGAAAAAAAAAAAGTTGAATAAAAATGTTCAGAGTTGTCTTTTTGGATTTTTTTTCCTGAAGTCAGAGCTTCCTATTGGATAACTGATATTGTATCAAGTTGAAACTGAGGTCAGTGGTGCGGGACACAGAGGACAAGGCTCAGTGGTGCTGTTCTCAGAAGAGGGGCAGCTTTTCTTTGGAAATGGGACTGCTCAGGTTGACAGTAGATGAACTCTGATGGGTTGGGTTCTGTAGACAGGCAATCAAGGACAGGACAAACTTGATAGGGAGTCAAGTTTGCAGTTTAAAATACCAATGATGAAAAGCAAGATTTATGATTAACTTGGTGGGTTTTTTTCCCCAGCTCTGAAGTGGAGCAGTTAACTGATTGTTCAGGATTGTAGGTCTGCTTCCAAGAATGCTTCAGCTGAGACTAAATAGCCAAGATTCACAAGGGCCAGCCGATGCTGAAAAGGTGTGACTGAGAGGTGACACCCATTCAGTTCATCACTGCTTGGCCTTTTGTTATCCCATCCTGCTCACCTGCCTTGCAAGAGTTCAGCTGGGCTAGATAAACAACTGGACAGGACTTCATTGCTAATCTGTTATATGAAATCAGGGCTGTCATCATCTCTGAATGTTTGTACAATAGGAGGCAAGGCTTGGAGGAAGAAAAACAAGGAGAAATATGTAGGAAGAAGAATAACCAGCTTTATAACTGAGAAAGAAACCACAAACAGCAAGGGGACAAGCCTGTTCTACCTATGTAAAGTATTAGTAACCTATCACCCTTTTCAGAGTTAATGATATCAGTAGCAGTAATACCTTGGCACTGTTACACTGCACTGCATCAGCAAATTTGAAGTGTTGTACTAAGGAAGTGACTGTCCCCATTTAGTTGTGGAAGAGAATGATTTGGCTGTGGTTGCTCAGAAGCTTGGCAGAGTTAGGGAGATAATCCCTGTTTCATGCCTTCAGCTGCTTTTCACTTTTCAATGGGATTCCAGAAAGCATTAGGGACTTACACACCTATAACGTGTCATTACTTCATATCTGCTAATTCCCCTGGACATGAGAAATGCACCCTTAGTAACTGCCACCCATCTTTGTATTCCTTCTGAGAAAACATACAAAGAATATGCTTCAGTTTCTACAGTAATAGCTTACAATACTGGTTTGCATAAAAAAAAAATCACAACAAAACTGAAGTAGTTAATCTTGCCCAAATATGCTGCAAGAGATTCTCTAGCATCTCTTTGTCACTGAATATATTCCAATCTTAAAAAGGGTAAATTTTAGCAATTAATTGACTGATAAATTAGGTACAATGATTTCATATTAATATGAAATATAACTAGCTTTTGTATCTAGCTTGTTTTACTATAATCTTTGTTCTTCCTCAAGTTTAAGTACAGCTTGCCCTGGATTTACACATTACTCTTAGGTAAATGACTCTTCCCTATTGATTTCCATCCTGGGTTCTCAATGCAGCTGGAATCTGGCTCCCACTGAAAAGTCTTGGAATTGGGAGACTGTCACTCCATTTGGTGACATGCCACCTCAGACACATTATCAACACAAATTCCAAAATCTGGTCTAATGCTAGGGGCTTTTTGGGTGTGCTTTGTAAAATAATCTATGTTAAAATAAGCCACTGTTTTGAAGAGGGTTAATAGAAGAATGTTTTCCTGGTAGTTATGTCTTCACAGAACACAGTGACATCTTGTGGCATGGGAAGGGCTGGTGTCATTTTTTTCCAGATGCATCCTCATTTCAGCAGGTTTACAGATAAAAGTCTAAACAAATTCTGGACAACTGCTAATGCATTACTTCCATCTGTAATATTCACTCTTTCCAAAGTTTTTTTTAGTACAGGTTTGTCTAAAGTACTCTTTTAGTTGTGAAAAAAGACCAAGCCCTGGTATTGTAAATGTAGCGTGTTGGAGCTTCACCGATTTCAGTTTATTGATATTCCTTGGAAAACTTTCAGCTCCAGGAATGTTCCTGTCCCAGCCTCACTGGTACAAGAATCTGAGTCAGAATTTCAGGTGCTTTACTCAAGTTAGTGTACTATCACAGATGGACAAAGTTGTCCACTGTTGCTTTTGAGGGGATTGAAAAGAAAACACAGTAACATTTTATCATAAGGTAGAGACTTTTCTTTTTTCCTTTTTTGTCTTTTTGCAGACCAAACAGGGTTTAGCCCCGTCCCTGATATTTTGGGACCCTCCTGTGACATGTAGCCCTTTGCAAGCTGATCCTTGGATAAGATCCCGGTTATCAGCATGAAGGGAAGAGCTGCCTGCGGAGCGGCCGAGGCGCAGCAGCCGCGTCCCTGTGACCGGTACAAGCACGCCTGTGCCGTCTGCAGAGGCTTTGTTTATCTCTACGGAGGGCACGGCAGCACCACGCTGAGGGACTTCTGGAGATACCACACAGGTGAGCTGGCCCCTTCTCTTGAATGCCAGGGTTAAAGCCATTCCACATCAGTCAAAGTGAAGTTGAGGATGCTCTGTGCTTAACAGATTATCCTCATTTAAGGTCTTTCTGTCACAGGGCTGGATAAACTGCTTTTTGTTCAGTGGGCAGATGGGGGGTGTTTGCTCCTCTTGCAAGTGTCCCACAAAGTTTTGATTTCAGTTCAGTTCCTTTTGTTTTTGGGGTATTTTTTCCTCAACCAAAAATACTGAGTCATTTAAAATATCGTGGTTCTAGCAAGGGATATCAATGAGCTTTCTTGACTCTCTAACACAGCAATAGTTTATGCATATGAGAGTGCACAAAGGGAACATGTGAATACAATACCTTGTAGGTTTGTAGTATCAATGCACTATCAAATATAAGCCTTGGTATTTTTTTACTTGATGTATAGTTTTGTCTGATCAGTTGTTACTGGAATAAAACAGAATTGTACTGGGGTTCATGCTCATGGAATTGTCCAAATTTGACGTAGGTAACAATTAAAATACAATCAGTAACAATTATTGTATTTAAATGTAACTATTACTGTTATATTTAAATTTGCTAAATAGAAAAATTAATATATTTCATTTTTAACAGAGGAAAGATGACAAAATGCTTCATTTTATGCAGCACAGCCACATTCAAAGCCCACCTTTTCACCTTTTCCCTACTGTTAATGTGTTGAGTGCACCACTGTCTTAACCTCAGCTTTGGTTTATAGTGAAAAATGAATGGGAAATGTTGGATTGCTCAAGAGATGGTCCAGAAGAACTGGAAGAACATTCAATGGTGGCTTATAAGGTACTAGACCAGGATTATATTGTCCATATCCTGACATTTTATTTCCTCCTATACAGTGCAATAAAACGCCATAGGTATTATGTACTGAAATACTATGCCCAGAAAGCATTTTTGTGTTGATGCAGTTCTGGATGTAGCTGTACCTATGTTTGGAAATCTTTCTGAACAGAGTGGCAGTAATTCAGCTCTGCAGCAGCCCCCTGGTTTCCTCAGTCAGTGCTCAATAAGTAGCAGTAATACCAGATAAAGACCCTGGCAGCACTTTCTCTGACTTATCTGTGCAGTTGTAACAGTTGCTCTGAATTCATTTGCATGATCAGCCACGGCACAAAAACATTCACTACAGAACTCGCGTAGAAGAGGGACGGGGGAGTAAAGCACAGTAAGAATTACAGCCCTGCCTGTGAGGGGAAGACAGAATTTAGGATATCAAGAGCTTCCACACAAGGAAACATTTCTCTAAACATGCATAATCCAATATACCTGAGCAGTGCCTCAAGAGAGCTTCAGATTCCCAGCCTTGAAGCTGCCCCAGGCTGACAAGAAACGAGCAGTTCTGAAATACTGTTCCCATTAAACAGCACAATGTTCTTCAGGGCTTCACCCTGGGAGAGAATAAAGAGAGAATAATTAAAAATTGGTGGCTTTTTGGGATTGTTAAAAGATCATCATATTGTTAACTAAATTTTGCCGATAGCAACCTTTGCATTTAAGAATTGTTTTTAAAATTATTTGCATGCTATGTGCCTTCCTATAAGTGACAAATATTTGTCTATTTTGCAGGGCAGCCTGTATATTTTTGGTGGGATGGTGGATTCTGCTTTCACACAAGCAAAAACTCCTCTCTGGCTATATGACATTGGTATGATACACAATAGCCAGTATTTTCCATGGGATATTCCATAGGCAGTAATAAATAATGAGAACCAAACTGTTTTCTGCTGCTTGTAACAGAGCCTTCATTAAGCTTTACAACAAGTAATGAGTGTAAAACTGTGTCCATATTTTCCCCTCCAAATTAGGCTGTTCAGCTATCAAAGATGCAGGTCTTACTTCAATTAGAGAGGATTATATGGGAAAATTGTATGTATTTTAAAGTCTCAGAATTTCCATTCCTCCCTCACTCCTTTTTACATTTACTATTTGATCATAAGACCTGATAATTCATGTATTATTTAATTTTTATTTTTAATGCCACATATATTTTAAAACCAAGCTTTCTTGGCTTCTACTTTCTAATGAAAGAAAGTAGATCAGTAAAATATATCTCATTTGTACTTTTACTGAAGAAACACATAAGCTAGAGCAAGAGAAATCAAAAATTAAATAAGGTGGGAAATTAACATCAACATTTTATAACATGTATTTTTTTTTCTCCTAAGAACAAAAATTTGGGATCTCTTAAGTGTGTATTCTAATAAATACAGTGCAGTATTTGAATTTAATAGCAATGTCATACACCATGGATTCGCCCTTTGGAAATCCTGTGTACAGTAATAGCTGTTATTTTGATGTTAGACTGGGAGGGGAGAGAGAGAGGCTCATTTCTTTTTGAGCTGGTAAATCTTGTGTCCAGACCAAGATTTAAGTTTCCTGTCTTCTTTTGCTACTTCACTATGTAACTTTAAGTCAATGGGGTTTTTTCAACCCTTCCTTTGTGTTTTACACCAGTTGTCTGAGATAACCTGCTGGAAGAAAGAAAAGCCTCAGAATATATTTTAAAGGATAAAGCATCTTATTACTCACAGTACTTACCAGTGGAAATTGGAAATGAGTTATTCAACATTGGTTGTGTGTCTAGCTGTTTCATAGTTATTATTTAAAATCTTTTGGCAAGAATAGCTTTAAGTAATGCAAGCCTGCACTGATTCCTCATTGTATCTCTGTGCTGTGTTATATTTCCTCTCCTTCACGGTGATCGCAGATCTGTGATTGCTGGCTGTTATTTGAGGGCTATTTAAGGGACCTTTGAAAAAGAACAAGAAAGAATAAGTGTGCCATAATAAGGTGTGTGTGTGGTAAGCAAAAGGAGTCATACATCCATAGGGAAATCTGGGATTCCTACAAGTTCACAAAATGATGAAAATCACAGGTTACTTCTGCATTATGAAATTCAGCTTTAGGAAACGGGAATACAGTGTGGCACCTATGTGATTCTGTATCAGATAAGGACAGAGGAAAACTGTTCAAACTGTGTCTCCTGAAGTCTGTCAGTGCTGCTGTCCTAGCAGGATTTCTTCAGCCTTGTCAAGTAGAAAACACCAGGACGAGACTTCCTTGAAAATGAGCTGTGCAATTTGAGCAGTTACTGTGGGAGGAGTGTCCTCTTGTGGTGCGGGATCTAAACTGCGCTTTATTAACTCAATCCCCAGATTCCGCAAGATGGACAGAGAGCTGCAACGAACCAGCAGAGACGGAGGTAAGGAGCCAGGAAGTGGGGAATGTGTGAATCAAATGCCTGTTGCTTTGTTGATTAAACAGATTGCTTTGAAATATGTTCCCCCAAACAGTTCCAATCTCATCTCTTCAGAGACATGTGGCTGTACTTTATTTCTTTGCACTTTCAATAACTTAAGGCTTTTTCCTTCTTCAAAACAGTGTTTAAAAATACTGCTCTTAAATTTTAAGTCCTATATAAGAAGTTAAGTCCTCTCCTCTGCTGCTGCTTCTGTTTTTCTGAAATCCTTATCAAGAAAACTAATTTTAAATGGAATATTGCAACCATACGTGAAGCCTGTGCTTTTAAAAGTAGGGTTGTGAAAACAGATTGGCAGCCACGCTAATACATTTTGGAACGTGAAGTGCTGCAGCATTTTTCAATTCTTCAGTGTGAACACGTGGACTCACCAAGTTACTGCCACTTCTAATTGAAACCTGAGTAGAAGCATTTGTGGCTTGGTCTTTTGAGATTGATTTTGTATCACTACACATTAGGAATCACTCATTTCTTGCTACTGAAACTTCATCATCACAATGATGAAGTTTCTATACCTTGGAAATTGCACCCAGAATTTTATTTTTTTTTTTAAGATGTGACACAGTTGCCACTCTGGTTACTTTTGCTCGATGGAGGAGTCAAGAGAAATTTTGGCACTGCAGGGTTATTTGTGGGGAAAAATAAAGGTGAATTTCCAAGACAGATATTGCTCCTGATATGACTTTATAGGCTTTTATTTTTGAACTGTTCTAGAGCTCTGCACCAGCTAACAGAAAAGGTCACAGTGCAGTTGTGTACCATTCCAGCATGTACATCTATGGGGGATACTTTGGCATCAAAGGCATTTCTCAGGAGTTTTGGGAATTCCATTTTGGTAAGTTAAAAGAGCAGGATAAGGTTTTGATCCAGTGTAAAACAACAGCTGCAGCAGGAGAGCTTACTCTGCTAAGAAAATTCTTGTCAGTAGAAATCCTGTAAGTTAGTTTTGGCTTCTCTTCGACAACATTTAGTAATAAATTGTGTCAAATTCAATTAATTTCTGGCTGAAATTAATTAGACTATTACACTGGAATACATTTTGCAGTATTTGCCAGTTTTACAGCTCAAAATCAGGGAGAATGTTTGTTTACTACCCACTAAAATTCTTCAAGCATTACTAAAAACTTTCAGACTGAGCAAGGACCCTGATTTCACCCTATTAATGTCATCTTTTGATCTCAAATCTCCAGCTGACCATGGGGAGTCAAACCTGACAGGAGATAGTTTATTAGCATATTCATTACCAGTCTGATTACTGCAAATGAGATGATTCCCAGAGATTTCCTAAATGCATAACTTGTTATCTGATGGCCATTCTGCCACTATTTTGAAATAAATGATGGGTTTATCTCATCCTTCCTTCCCTCACTGGGAGAATAAGCATAGACATTAATGAATTAATGTTTTTGTTGACTGATTTTTTCTCTCTAACAGCCAGGAAAGTATCTTTCTGTATCAGAGTCAATGAACTGACAAAGCTGTAGGAAAAACTGCTCTGTAAATAAAATTTCCATGGCATCTGTCACAGAGCATCTGACATTTTCATTAAAAGTTTATTTCAAAACTGATTCTTTTAAATGCACTTTTTCAGTGTCAGAATTTAATATGTTAACTCATAATAAACTTAGAGCAGAAACCCTTATTCTCCAACTGAATAGCTACCTCCTCCAGGAAGCAAATCCTTTCTCAAAAAGGGTAAATTTGATCCATCTATAAATCAGTGGTTTTGTTTCAGATACAAGGAAGTGGCTGTGTGTCTCCAGCCCCTGTCACAGCAGCGGTCCCGGAGCGCGGCACGGCCACTCGGCAGTGGTTTATCACACAGCCATGTACCTCTTTGGGGGGCTGCTGGGGCTCACTGAACAGAGGGACTTGTGGAGGTGGGACTTTGGAAGCAGCAGCTGGTCCAGCATCAGAACAAGGTAAACTGTTCTATTTGTTACACTAAAGGAGCAGAGAAAGAGAATTCGTCTTACTCTGATTCTCCGTGCGGGTGGAGGGGGAGCCGATGCCCTGTTGGTAATTGCAGGGATTGTTCAGATCAGGATGCAGTGCTGCTGCCATGCCTGGGGCTCCAGTTGGCTTTGCTCGGGAGAGCTGTTGGCAAGGCGTTGATGCAGCTGTCAGCAGTGTAATTTTGATGTCCCAATGCAGCTGTTCAGCAGTCATCCTTCTGAGTCAAAAGGAAAACAGAAGCTAAAATCAGTGCTAAGTTTCTTTTTGGTCTCCCCTTAACTGCTGGTTTCTCTTACCTTCAGCCAAGGACCTCCTCCGATGGTAGGTCACGCTTCAATAGTCTGCAAAGACTCTATGCTGATTTTTGGTGGAGGGATTTCAAATTCCAGCCCTTATGATGACCTCTGGAAGTATCATTTCCATACGCAGACATGGAAGAAGCTTAGTAGTACTACAAAGGGAAACTTTTCTCCTAAAATGTATCACTGCATCTTAGGAATTGGTGTGGATTTCCAAACTACCTCAGATTTCACTGATGCATTCCCCAGCCACTGCAAGAGTGAGCAGAGGGACCATCCCCAGCTGGTGCCCATCCTGAGGCACTCTGGCTTTTGCAGCTTCTTCTGCCCACAGCCCACAGAGCGGAGCAACACCATCGAAATGAAAACCTTCAGCCTGCCCCTGGAGCCAGCAGAATTCCCTGCCTCCCAGGCCACTTCAGAGACAGGACTAGGCCCAAAGAGAGACAGGAGCTGTTTGTCCAAGGACAAGTCTCTCCCTCTGTTGGCCTGTTCAGGAGAGGCTTTTGCTGCTGCTCAGGCTGTGGGTAAAGAGGAGAGACCTGACTGGGGGTGTGTGGCCACGGGGGGTGGGATCAGCAGGACCAACACACTGCTGCTCATCGGGGGCAAACCTTTGTCCAGCTTCTCTGAGATCTCCTTCAGGCAAATGGAGTTTGATTGCTTGTGATTGCTTTGCTTGCAAAGTGAAGGAATAAATTTCCACCACCGTGGCAGTAGGTGGAAAACCAACTGCTTGCAACTGTCTTCAGCTTCCTATCAGCACGCTGGGGAAAAAAATAATTAAACCTTCTCATACTTGCTGTGAACAGATTTTTTACAATGTTAACAAAACCTGACATATATTTAAGTCACAACTTGCATGTAAGTTGTGATTTCTGAGAGGAGCTTGTTGGAATGCTGCTCTTTTTGTTACTTTTCTCCTGGTCACTTCATACCATTTCAAATTGGCAATGGCTGAGGCTGCCTTCAGAATCAGAACTGCAGTAACCCATGCTGGCTCCACAAGATGCCATTTCAGGGACAAAGCTTGCTCATTTTGCATGGCATAAGAGAGAAACACAGTCACATTTGAGGGGTTCAATTAGTCTTAACATGAATGTTCTCTAAGATTTTAAAGATTTTATATTCTTGAGTGTCCTTTGTACAATATATTGGCAACATGAGATGGCCTATGACAACAGAACCCAACAGACAAATCAGCAACTGAATTCTAGAAGATATTCAAGGATTGTATATAACCTTGAGGAAGTGAAACAATGAGTGCCCCCTGGAAATCATCAGCAAGGACCAGAGGAAGGGCATTATACCTGTGAGAACAAAGGATGTGCCAAATGAGTGTTGGTTTTAATGGCTGAACACAGAATCAAAAGGGCTTGATTTCCCACAGTGGGGTGGGGAGGGAACAGAAAGAGGAGGGCTTGACAGAGTGGCACAAAGCATGGGCTGTTTCCACTGGTAACTCATGTTTAAGCCCTAAAGAGATTTCTGCTTTTCCAACTCCATCTCTCTTTTATCACCCTACGTTGCACTTGTTACACATTTCCTCTCTGTAGTAGTAAGTTCTGAGTTCATATATGGTTTTTCTTTGCTGAAAAGAAAAAGTGCTTGTTTTGCAAGGTAATATTGTCCAGCATTCAAAGCATTTATTTCCATAGAAGTTACTAAATACCGGCCTTCTGACAGAACAGCAGCTGTCTGTAAGAGCTGCTGGTATCTGAAATTACCTGAAAGTGTAAGTTTATACTTCCAAATATTTGACAAGTTCACTTTCCAAAAGATTCATAGGAATAACGACTTTGAAGTAATTTACAGATTTCAAGAATATTTACAGATACTTTCATCATCTCTTCACAAGTAACTGTCACATGAATTCAGTAGGAAAATTATAGGTGGATGTGCAAAAGCTGCTTAAGAGTTATTTGGACCATCCATGACCCTTACCTGGAAACAGAGAGGACTGTACACTACCACATGAATAAAGCCTGCTCCATTTCCTATCACTGTGTGCTCATGTTCACCTTTGTGAGTCTAAAATATGTGTACTTTCTAACTGAACAAGGAACTTACCTTTCTGACCAAGGAACACGATTCTGCAAGCCCGTCATTTCCCTGCACTTCAGCCGGCTTCGAGGGCTCCCCAGGCTTTGAATTTCTCCTCCAAGAACAAGAATTTCCCAGTTTGAGGTTTGTTTGGAAGGGACATCAATACAGTGACTGAGCTGAGCATGTACTCAGCACTGCAGTCTTAAATCAGCAGCTTGTTTTCTTGGTGCTGACTGACATGTCTGTTTTGGCTTTATCCTGGGAGCTGCCGTAACATACAGCCTTTTATCTAGGATTGACAAGGGAAGGAAATTTAACTGGAAAGGGCAACAATAAACCAGTGATTTCTCCAAGTCACGCCAAGGCCTCCTGGCAGGTAGCGGTATCCTGGGGATGTGCAAGAGCCCCAGGAAAATGCCATCCAGCCTCTGCCATTCCTTTCTTCCTGCCCCCTCAAACTCTCTTCCCTTTGGCAGCCCCACGAAGGGTTTAACATTTACTCGGAGCCAACGCAGGCGGGACAGAAGCCAGCCCAAAGGCAATGGCTTGGCACGGGCAGGAAAAGCAGCTTGGAGCGAGCCCATCTCCCCTGTTGGCTCCCCTGGGCTCTGCCCATGTGCCAGGTCAGGTGGGGGCACGGCACTGGCAGCACCACACCCACTCCATCACTAAGGGATGCCAAACCTCTCGAGCTGGCCCTAAGGGCCCTGCTGTTCTCCCTGCCCTGGACAGGACAGCAGGAGAGCAGGGGCTCGGGAAAGGCCTGGCTGCAGGGATGGGAGCTCAGGGCTGGGAGGCTGAGCTGGAGTTGGGCCCAGCCATGCTGTGCAAGGGAAGAGAGCCTTGATCCTGAAGTGGGGCTCTGTGCTACAGCAGCTTTGCTGAAGCTACTGGAGGATCTTTTTCCCCCTGTGGCCCATTCCCAGGTCTTCAGAAAACAAGGGTGAGCTCAAGCTGGAAGAGAGGGGTGTTGGGAATTGAAGTGACTGCATCCCACAAATGCCCACAGGAGTGCCTGACACCTCAGTCCACTCTGGCCATGCACAAACCATATTTCAGGTACCCTCCAGTGTCCAGACCTAGGGACACAATCCTTGCTCACACCACTGTGACACTTCCTGATCATATCCCCTTTCAAACCTTAGCCAGTGCTATCAGCTACACCAAAAAGGTTCTCAGGAGCATCTCACCCCTCTTTTCCCACTGCAGGCACCTTTTCAGAGAGGCAGAAAAAAGCCTTTGTGGATGTGCTTATGATATTTCTCCATAACTGTAGCAGTCAATAAGAATTCATCCCAGGCCCAAGCGAGTGACTAAAAGCTGCTGCCATCTGAAAGCTCAGTGGTGGCCTGCATGAAATAATGAATGGAATTACTCCAGCTAGTGGCAAATATTTAGAAACAAAACACAACACCCCATTTTTGGCTGGGACTGAAGGGGCTGCCACTGAAGTTGGCTGTTTAGAATGTCTATGAAAAGCAGGGAACCTTGCACATATCTGCAATGCTCACAGAAATGCAGTCCATAGAACAAATGCAAAAGCATGCAGAATTCTTGGCAACCTCATCTGACATAAGATGTGCTGTTGTATCATAAATTTTATATAAGGGAACAAATTGATCAGCACTAAACATCTCAACAAACTCATTGTTTTAACTGACATTCGGTTTCTGAACATTAAAATGTATGGATGGCAGAAATATTATCTTCTAAAATGCAGATATTCAAAGAAGGTTTTTTCAGTTACTAACAGAAACACCTAAATGTTTCATTGTTTTGAATTGTAAGTGGATTTGAAGAACAATTCAGTGATTTATCAGTGAGATCACAGTTTGACCTACATAACAAATTATGCCACAAGAGAAATTATCTCCTATGAGCTTAGTCATTAGGATGGAGTAATTTCTCTTCCTTTTGATACTTTCGAAATAGTTTTTGAGAAACAAAGATTATCAAAGGGTTTAGTTGCCCTTTGCTACCATCTTTAGCATTTAGCCAAAGTCAGGGCTTGGGAGTAAACAGTTCCCTTTAAACAATCAATCATCAGTGCTGCTGCACTTGAGAGCACAGCCCAGTCCCTGGCTGGAGACAGGAGTGAGGGTGCTTGGTTAACTGGCCTGACTGGAACCACACTGGGCAGCTCGGGCTCTCCTTCTGGCCACACGCCTGGGGCTGCCTTTCAAAGGCACTGCACACCTGACAGTCCTCCTGGACACTCTCAGCTCTGTTGGAAAAAAGGCATTTAATTCTTTAGCATCTACCTGCAAGCTTTGGTGCTGTCCTAAGTTACACTTTAACTGACAACAGGCTAAGTTTAGAGCAGCAACCCGGTGTCCCAAGCCCCAGCTAACCCACCTCTGAGTGCTGTGCCATTTAACACAAGGGGCCCAAAGATGACTCTGCAAGACTTTTGCACTGACATGGTGTATTTAAGACAAAACTACAGTACAAACATTCCAAGACTGGGTTGAGTGGACTACAAATCTACTTGTTCCCATGTACAGTTTCAATACAGATCTCAGTGCAGTGCCTAAGACAGTTCATACGTCACCAGTGTTGTGAAACAGAAGCAAGAGGGTGCACTTCGTTTTATAAAAAACCCAACAAATAAATTATACATTGAGAGCTATTGCCAAGCTTTACATATAAAAAGTAAAAATACAGTAGTTAGTGCGGCTTTAACAAAACAAATCTAGCTAAAAAAATATTCTTATGTACTTTAAAAATAAGTTTGTCCAGTTATATAGGTGGGGGTGGTGTGTGTGTTTATGGAGCAGAGTGCTCAAGCCAAGCAGTCTAAAGGAGGTGAATTCTGCAGGAGAATCCTGTGGCTCCCGGCCCTGTGGGTGTGGCAGCGCTGCCAGCAGTGCCTGCTCCTCAGGCCAGCAGCCACACAGAGCCAGGCCTGGCTTTAAGGGGCCGTGCTGAGCATCCCCAGCAGCACTGCCCGGAGCCACTGCAGCTCTGCCTCTGCCCGGCACTGTGGGGAGGGCCCTGCACTCCTGTCTGTGGTGCCAACACCTGGAGCAAACACACCCGGATCACCCCTGTGTCACTGAAAGGCCATTAGTACATATTGGTCTATCTTTTGGTTGAAAAGTTGATTGTCCAGCTGCATTTGAAAGCTGTGACATTACAGTGTCTAACAGCTACATATATATATATATATGTATATAGATACTACAGCTTCCTAAACTCAGAAACACTATGTGCCCAGACAGAGCTTTAAATGCTAGCTGGCTGCTAGCTGCTATCACTTCACCAGTAGATTTGGGTTGTACCAGAAAACATTCACAATGTGAAAAATACATCCAGTGCTGTTTGTGAAGGACACGCTCATCCCAAGAGTACGTCTTTGCTTCATGAAACGAGAAGGAAGGAGCAGGGTGCAGACAAAGGGAGAGCAGGCAAGGACTGCAAACAGTTGGTATAGAGACCCACACATAGCTGCATTGTTCACCTGAGCTGCTCTAACAGGGCTGCAAATTTTCTTGCCAAAGTTGTGTCCAAAAAATTGTCCAAAATTATCTTACATAGCTGTCTGTCTTTGACAAAGTATGAGAAAAATTTAAGTTTAAAATCAAATACATTCAAGCTAATTCATTAACCATGACTGATTAACAGGTAAGTAGGTAATTTATGTGCTATAAATTACCTAATATTAAACTCTATTACCACTGAACTAAAGAAGAGATTTCCTTAATTCTGGTGTATGAAAGCCTCAACTCCCACAATTTAATGCCCATTTCCTAAGCCTGTAAATACACACAGCACATGCAGACTCTGATGGTCCTAAATGGGTGAGACTGAACTGCCTCTCTCTCAGGTTAATCAGTCTGAGATAAGGGCAGGGATGCTATTATTATAAACACCAAGATTTCTATAAAACCTTTTACTCCAGTCACAGAATGTGACTGGAGTAAAATCACTTTTACTTTCAGATGCAATCACTTAGCATTCATTCATTCACTCCTGTCAACTCTTACAGCTTTTCAGTGGTTGGCAGACCTGCCAACATCCTGACACCAAATTCACACAAAAGCTTTATTTATAAATCTCTTTAAATAAATACCAAAAAATAGACTTTAAGAACAAGCTTGGACCCTATAGCCAATCAATCAATAGTATAGCAATGGCAGGAAAATCCTTTTTTCTCAGTAGCACACAGGCATTAACTGATACTTTATAACACTAACTGTAGGAACTATTATCCCTATTTGTGTTTGATAAAATGCAGGTGATGAGGAATGCTACATTACCTGTTAGGCAGTCATGTTGCAAGACAGTAGTTCTAGCTGCAAACCAGAACAGTGATGCCAAACTGCAGGATGTTCAGATCACAAACCTGTGTCACCTTGGTCTCGCCAGGCTCCCTACATAAGCAATGATTTGGTTAGATAAGTAAGCTACATCAAGGTAAATTGAGTGAATAGTTGCTCCAAGTATCAGATTTTGCTGGGAAAAGTTGGGTTTGTAGCCCTAAATCTATAAGATTTTGCAAGTTCCCAATTTACCAGTTGAAATGTTTGCATTTTTATGTGAAGTTTCAAATATTAGTCCTCTGAAAATTGAGGAAAGCCTCGCCGCTTTGAAGTTTCTGTGTGTGTGCATGTATGTAATCACAACATTCTCCTCCAAACACGGCTATCCTGACCATGCTGAAATAACAGTTGGTTATTTGGAACCATTTAGATTTCAGGGGACACACTCACCACACGCTATTTACTTGTTATTTGCTGTGATGGCTTGGGAGGAATCTAAGGATGGTATTCAACACACAGTGCTGGAAAACTGTAAACTTCTGTTATTCCAGTTTTGGGAGGGATTCAAGCTGACAGTTCGCAGAGCTCCTGAACCCAACGGGAAGAGCCAAATATCAAACATGCCTAAGAAAATGCTACTGCATTCTGTCTATTTACAAACCCAACACATGTAGCTGGTGAATGCCAGCTCAGCT